ACACGTGTCCACAACGTTTACCATGAAAAGAGATTTCTTGATACAAAAAATGGTAAATTTACGTAGGCGTCAATCTCACCTATGTTCCATCAAATTGGTGTAAATATATGACTTTGTCTGGTTAATATGTGTAAGATAAGTAAGTTTTACTGTTTGAGACTCTTATTTTGAAGGACAAAAGGAAGTGGTTCTTTTTATGGCTTACTGTGTTTAATGAAGATTGCATAAGATTCCAGAAACATTTTTGAAGCTTCCACCGCTTTTAAACTTATCATATGTCAGAATTTGTCTTTAACAACAATAACAAAAAAAGTTATTCAGGAACAATTTATAGACACCGTTAGAACAACATGACTGGCTAACAACTTGAATTTCCTAAATCAAAAGTCTGAACTGAAATTGTTCATCTCTAGTAGAAAATCTAACATTATTAAAAGTATCTGAATAATTCAACAGTGCATTTTGGTTCTCATTAGAGAAAAACACAACATATGGACTGGTGAAACTCACACTAATAGTGATTCTTTAAAACACGGTTTTCTGACGTGTGAAAGCTTTACTCTTTTTAAGAAAACAGAAAAAAATTTGAATTTTTAATTTCTCCAAAAGTAGTACAAGAAATATTCAAGTTGGTAATCATTTTGTCTCATGAATGAATATATCACTTCAACCATTAGCCTGCATTTAAATAAGAAGTGACCTGGCAAAGGGATGTTACAAAAATATATTTTCAAATTCCCTATACCAAAAGGTTACCTTACCACTTCAGAATCAGATTTTTGCCATTTTTTTCTCCCCCAAATTAAATAATACAAAAACAATACATCCCTGTTGAACAATCATTTTGAGTTGCATATTTTACGTGAATTCACAGCATATCCTTAAAACCTCCTTTAGTATTTTCTCTAAAAACTAAATGTCACAGTTTTTAATTTTTCTGATAAAAACGCATTTTTTTTATTTTTAAGTGATTTTAGAGGTCTAACAGAATTTAGACAAAAAAATAAAACTATGACAAAGGTCATTAATGCCATCTGAATTCTGCTTGAGTTGACGCAATCCCCCCATCACCTCCCACTCAAAAAAAAAAACCATCGTGTTTGATGACTTTGTCACCTGCAGTTCAACTGTCTTTCCATTTCCAGTGTTTATAAATGAAAGCGCTTCCAGTAAACTGATAAGTGCAGGTACAAATTAAGACTCTACAACACACTGGTTCAATGGAAATGACGGAAGTACATTTTTCATTATTAAAACCGCACGAGCCATCACTGAGAAACAGGATGCTCTGTGGTTAAAACAGCAACAGAAAACGTCACAGTCATGCCACAGAGACACCTGACGCAGCCCACTCAACCTGCAGATATTCAAATGAGTCCAAAACAAAACAAAACCAAAAGAAAAAAAGAAATTACAAGTCCGAAAGAAAAGGAAGAAAAAGAAGAACAAGCTTGACCTTCTGCTTTCCTTCTTTTCACCTTTGAGAACAGGAAGATTTTGCGCTTTATTTCTACGACCAGACATTGGGAAGCACCTCAAAAGAGCAGAGGCGTCTTTCGGTGTCAGACAAAATAAGAATTAGAGCAGTGAGTGTGAACCATGCATCATCTTTTTACATCTTAGATGTGACATTTCACCCAGAGCCCTCCATCATTGACGTCAGTCCCAGTCATTGTTAGAGTAGTTTGCCTTGTACACCCCCTTCTGTTTTATCGCTTCTTCCACTTTACAGTCACATCAAAAAAAGCGAAACGCGGTGGGAGAGAGGCTGTACAGATTGAAAAAGGCTGCCTGGTCCAACACATTTCTGGTGAATGTGACTATCATACAAATAGGTATGGATGTACTTTAAAAAAAGAAAACAAAGAAAAAAGGAGCAAAAGAAATATTTACATGAGGAAAAAAAAAATTTAATGAATATTTATCTATAAATATTCATTAATATTTAATGAATATTTATAAATATTGAATGCAAATTTTTCTTTTAACCAGATTCAGGGTTTTGTTTGTCTTTTAAAATACATTGGTTTTTTTTTTTTTTTTTGTGGGATGGGGGTGCGGCAGCTTATTGCATGATTTATTGTTCCGTGGGGGGAAATAAAAGTCTTCTGGAAAGTTTTTGCAGAGCATGCCAAATGGCGAGCTAATGTGGTTATGCATGTAACCATTCAGGGTGTGGGTTACTCTGAACACTTTCTTTGATTAAAGTTAGCTGTGGCGATAAAGCATTAATACAAAGTTGGGTGTCGATCATTTTATATCAAGCTCACTGTTTTCACAGAAAGCCGAGAAATCCTCGACAAAAACGTCTACCGGTGATTCAGAGAATGGAAAATATGTTTCGGCATGTTCATTTAAAATGATTCATTAAGAAAAAAATTTCATTTTATATTATACATCTGTGCTCAAAGGCATAGGTTATTGAGAATTGGGAGCTTTTTTTTATTTTTTATTTTTAAACCAGACAGGATTACTAATATTTCTTACTCTAACACAAACTTTGAAAACTTGTGTGATATGATGCTGAAGAAAAACTGAAGGAAGAAATGGGAAGCTTAGAGCTAGGTAACATAATCCCTACCGTGAAGTACGGAAGGACACAAGGGTCATTTCGTGGGAGTGTTTTGTCACAGGAAGCATTGGTGCGCATCACAAAGCAGACGACACCATGAGAAAAGAACAGGAGGAAATGCTGAAACATCTTCAGAGAGTTTGCACAGCGACTCTAGACATGCCAACGGATTTGTGACAAAGTGGCTTAAACAGCTAACATCTAGCGGACGTCCTGGTCCCACCTCCCTAGAAACATTTGTGGGTAGAATGAAGAGGTGTGTGTGAGGGAGACAGCCACACACACCTGACCCGTTCACTCCAGTTCAGTCATGACAAATTCCAGCGAGAGATAGCGAGACTCTTATGGAAGGATTCCCAAAACACTTCACCCAACTTATACAGTTTAGCTGCAATGCAACTAAGGGCGTGTGCGTAAATTCAGACTTTGGGGACAATATTAATAACTGGTTGAAAGACTGCAGTTTTCTGGCCGAGCTCCGGTTACCGATCTTTAAAAAGCCTGGCCTGCCGATTCAGATTTTGGCTGATACAGATTTTGTTGCTGCAACAGTTGCTGAGCTTGCAAAAGTGGGGTGACTATTGTTAACTGGAAATGTGTGTAAATGACTTGGTAGGCGGGGCTAACAGTCAAACCTCTCACAGCAGAGCAGAGGACAGTGGATGATCTCTAGACCTTCACTGAGGTGGATCAGATCGGCTTCACAAGTCAGGATCAGCCGATCACTGAGCTCCCAAAATTAAGACAATTGGGGCCGATGTACTGGTGCACCGCTAATTAATAATAATAGGAACAAGAATAGTAATAATTATATACGAGCCAGTTGCAAAAATAAATAAAATAAAAAATTAGCCAGTATTACTTTTATTAAGCTAGTAAAACCAAAAGTAATACTTTGTCTGAACAAAAGAAAAGTGTCTTTGTATAGTGAACATTTATCTGCTTTCTAGTTAATAAAAAATATAACAAGAAATTAACAGGAAACCATCATTTCAAAAGCTCAAGACATTTTAGACATTTTTTATTTGAATACCAAGATCTGCAGCTTTATTCAAACATTCAGAGCAGATTGCATGTCAAAGGTAAATGCTGCAGGTAATTTTTCAAAAGCTGCTTTCAGACAAGATGATGAAAAAGCAGTGCAGTAAGCAAACTGAGTTGCAACCGAGACTGAACGCTGAGGAAGAACGGGTCACCTGACGGATCATCGGGGCTCCTCCTCTAAGCCGGAAAGCCGCTCTTCAAAACGCACGCTTGACAATCCGAGTTTGGCTCAATATGGTGCAGAGTTAATGAGAGGGAAGTGATGGTGAGGGGGAGGGGGGGTTATCCAAGATCAGGTGGTTCCTCACAAGACTGCAGCAGATCAAGAGAAAAAGGGGAAGAGTGGGCTAAATCTAATAAGAAACAGTCAGAGGCTGACAGCAGCGCCAGTGCGTCAATGAAGCAACCACTTCACAAAGTGGGGCTTTCCTTTGGCAGTTGAGATGTTTACGACTCGGCTGCAACAATCGAAATGAATCTGTCTTGGTTCCTACTCTTAAGGGCAAAGTTCCACCGTCGTCTATTTTTGGTGTTTGAAAATATGAGATGCCGTGACTTTCAAAAATGCACAAAAATAAGTCTAGAACGCCTCGTCACAAACAAGGTTATCGCATTTCATCGGGATTTTGTTGGTGTGCTGTTAAGTAATACATGCAATGGAAAATAACGCCTGAAAATAAAATACCAGGGATTACACATTATTGTTAGAATTATTATAATTATCAGTATTGTCATTACTTTCACAGTTTATCAAAATGATCTGTTTATGGAACAAATATGAGGAACAGTCAAATGAAACCAAAGAGAAAAGATCTATTCTTACTTTTATGAAATAAATAAAATATAATAAATATTTTAGGTATAATGAATTATATTGATTCAACAGAGTGCCATATCATTACAAAGATAATGCCTTTTTCTTTATTATTATTGCTAGAATAATAATAAAGACATTGCAAATTTTTGCTTGTTTTGTGCTTCAAGATGTATCCATACAGGTGGTTGCTCAAATTGGTTGGTTTTTAATATTTGTTTTTATTTTTTCTCCAAGCTACTCCTTTTTTATTTAAAACTTTGGTTTATGTGATATGTTTATTTTAATCTGTAAATGAAGGGAAACAATGATTGATAAAGTTTTGTTTTGCCAACACTGGGAATGCATTTTTTTTTTAAAGTTGTGGTGACTTCTCAAACAAAAAACAAAAACAAATCCAAGACTTTGTGGATAAATCTGAAAAATGTTTGTGTACATAAAGTTTCTCAAATAATTCTACAATTTACCTAAAAAATAAAAATAAATAAAAAAAAGAATGAGGACAACCCCCTGTGCCCCCCCCCCGCCAAAAAAAAAAAACAACAACATTGTGCAGAACAACATCCTCACCCGGATCATTTCAGCCACGTAGCTTTCGGGCCCCGTGAACTCTGTGGAGTCCTTCACCTTTACCAGGACAATGAAGAACAAGTAGTGCCACATGTTGTGCTCCACCTTGATGTGTTCTTCAAAAGTAACCGTCTTGTTGTCAAACTTATCTCTCTCCAGACCTAAAAAGGAAAGAAAGCAAGACCAACACCCACATACACACACACACACACCCAAAACAAACATTACACATGTTTTTTTCTCAATTCTTGGGAAAAAAAAAGCTAAGAAATAAGCCTTATTAGAGGATGACATAATTGTGCTTGGGGGCGACTGAGAACATAAGAGGAAACAGGGTCATGCGGGGAAAGAGAAAAAAACGTCAAAGGCGAGAAAGACTTTTTTGTTTTTTTATGTTTTCTGTTGCAATAAATCCCAGTAATCCACTGGTGTTCTTGGATTCTATTCACAAAAAAAGAAGAAGGCTTCACAGAGTCACCCAGCCCAAGGAGCAGGGATTATTCACTACAAAATGTCAACAAGTGACTGTCTGGGCCAGTGACTGCAGCGTGTTGTACAGTTGAACGTGGTCAAGCCTCATATGGCAACAGGAAGAAACACTCCTCCTCCACAGCAGCACCTTCCGTGACTAAACATTCATTCTGGGAAGAGGAGGCGTAGGGTATTTTTTTTTACAGAGAAAAAAAACAGCCCCCATTTTGCAAGCAGCCCTGATGTGAATCTGCTGCAGAGCAGTGGCACGCTCACATTCAGGGCAGACCACTCACATGACTTGCATTAATTTTGACTGAGAGCCATAAAGCTTACACCTGCCGCTCGATTAAAGCTTCATGCGACACATCGGGTATCGATTGCAGCTTTGACGCACTGGAGCTGAAAGACATCCGTTTGTTTGTTTTGCAGCAATTATAACTTGATTGTAAAAAGAGACAAAAAAAAAAAGAAAAAGGCAGCAATAATATCCCTAAACCACCGAGAGTAAAGTGTGGTTAGAAAACTGGCTGCAGAAACAAAAATAAGGGAAACCCAACATTTAATTTCCAATTACACCGATTTAAATAAATAAATAAATGTACCCACCACAAATGAAACATGTCGTCTTCAAGATTTCCTCTTTCTTCTGCTTTTCGCTCCTCAAGTCAGCAAAAGTATCAATGATGACACCAAAGATAAGGTTGAGGACAATGATGATGACCATGAAGAAGAAAAGCAGGTCGTAGATGACTCTGGCTGCAAACAAGGGTTCCTGAGGGAGTCGGGGAAGAAAACAAGAGAAGCACCAAGAGCTGATTTCATTCTCGGTGGAAATATTTTGTCAGTTTTTACAATAACTTTCAATTAAATTTGAGAAAGTAGGCAGAACAGAGGCCCGGGTCGTGCAAACTGATAAAAAGGAGAGTGTTGTGGGTTTTTTAGGGAGGAGTTGAGATGTGTTCATGGTCAGGAGTTGCTCCCAGGTGACTGGACAGCTACAGCTAATCTGATAAGAGAGACAGGTGGGAAGATACTTGGTGTGTCATCTGGAGGGAATAAAATAGAGAAGGAGGCAGATTTTATTTTATGGTTTTAAAGGCTCGACATTGAAGATGGTGAGAAGTAAAGGCAGCTTTCTGTTTTTTCATTCTGTTCTCGGCTCCCAGAGAGAAATTCTAGACTTTTCCAAAATTGGGGGGTCCGGACTCCTCCTCCCCCCTGGGATTCACGCCTGTGCATGGTAGTGGAATGGAAAAGTCCAGAAGCATATACATAGACAGAAGCTAGCCAAGAAGAAGTGAAAATGAGGACTGAGAATACAAAAGGTGTATGATGCTAGTTCGGACAATAAAAAGGGAGAGAATGAGTTTCATCCATCTGCCGAGGCAGAGATAGAGATAGAAAGACGTGCAGTAGGTGAGGGTGATTAAGGATGGGAATGGAAACATACTGACCACTACTTTGATGACTGAGGAAAATGAGAGAAAATGTAGAGTAGAAGTAGATAAGATTAGTAAGGTTGATGTGAGGAAAGTTTGAAGAGGATGAAGAGGGGAAAGGAAGTTGGTCCGGATGACACACTGGTGGAGGTATGCGAGTATCTAAGAGAGGTGGAGGTAGAGTTTTTAACTTGGTTGCATATTCTCACACTAGAATAGTGAGAGTATGCCTGAGGAAAGAAATCTTCTCACTCATCTGAAAGGAAAGGGAATAAAGATACAGTCAAGTGCAGTGTAATGTAGGCTTAGGTTAGCATTTGTGAGTATAAGAGAGGTTTTATGCCAAGAAAGAGTACTACAGATGTAATTTTTGCTTTGAAGATGCTGATGGAAAAGTGCAGAGAAGGCCAAAGCGAACGGCAGGGAGTAGACAGAGAAACTGTGGTCTTGGATGAGGAGGTGTGGAGTGGCAGGGAAGTTTTTTATATTGGTGAAGGGTGTGAATGAGAGCTATTGGACAGCAGTGAGGTGTGCTGTAGGAGAAGGAAAGGAGGTGGAGGTGGTGGCGAGACTGCACCAGAGATCGCCTCTCAGCCTCTTCTTGTTTGCTTTGGTGATCGAGATGCGGATAAATTCTTGCTATGGGCCGTCACGTGGTGCAGTGGATAGAGTGAGCGCCTCGTGTACAGAAGCTACAGACCTCGACAAATGTCCTCTGCATCCCTACCCCCTTCCTTTAGGGTGTATTGTTGAGTGAAGAAGGTCATGGTCAGTTGCTCCCAGGTGACTGGACAGTGCCAAAAAAAAAAAAAAAGAAATTCTTGCTTTGTGCGACTAAATGTAAAAAAGCGAGTAAAACTTGTTTTGGCCCATTAGTTCTGTTGTGATTTCATCATCTCATTGTTTTCCCCATAGTTATGGAATCAACTGAATTTCTGAGAAAAAAATCAATTATATATATATATATATATGCACACACACACGCATATATAATTCTACTTCGTTAGAAATTGCTTGTTTATTTTAAATGGAATGGACAGAGATGGAAAAAGGTGGGGAGGAAAGTTAGATATGAAGCAAATGCATAAAAATAGAGGAGGAAGAAGAAAGACCATACAAGATAACATCTGAGAAGTCTGCTTCTACAACTGTTGAAAAAGAGAGAGAAAAAAAACAGAACTGAAAAACCAGTGACGAATGTATGGCCAAAAAAAAAAAAAAAAAAGTTGCCACCAAAAAAAAAAAAAAAGGACACACTAATATTTTGTTAGACTGCCTTTAATTTTGAGCAAATTTTCTGTGGCATTGCTTTGAAAAGCTTTGAAATATCACAAGATTCATCTTTATCCAACCACTGTGTCCTCACTAGAAAATACTGTGTATTCATAAACTACCTTTGGGTGGGTTAGGAATAAGTCATGAAATGAACTTAATATAGAAAACCTCTTTTTTTTTTGCTATAAAAGTTACATACTGCAGCACTAAGAAAGATCTTTAATTTAAAAATAGGATATGCCATCAGTTTTACTTTCAGTTTCAAGCATTGGACATGCCAACATAGTATGTGTAGCGTAGCCTAGCATGAAATAGACTATTGTAGGTCGTTGTTGCAATATTTCAGAAACAGGCAAGTTGTGTCTGTGGCAGTTTTGCACATGTGCAGCAGCTACACGTTGCGCTCATGTTGAATTTTTCAACATGTCCAAAAAAAACCACAGCAAGCTGGCTTTTCATGGTCAACCTGTGTGTTTCAAATATGTGTTAAGGTAAGGCCAGAGCATTCCTCATTTCAGGGTTAAAACAAAAATATTTAATAGATATCTTGTTTGTTGCCATTATGCTGTAATTATATCGCATAATATTAATCATCAGAGTGGTTTGGTGAAAATAAACCTCTGTCCTGCTGCGTTTTTTGGCATGGAAAAAAAAAATCTCATCTAAGTTCATCTAAGTTTGAGTTTACTCCCTCATTCTTTACGTTAGACTGAAGATCTAAGGCATCCTGTGAGAGTACAGGCCTGTCTTCCTCCCTCATGAGATAACTTTATTGTCATTTCTGGAATGCTGGACGTTACAAGAGTCTTCATTGCAGCTGCGTTGACCTTTCAGCGGCGCGCTTCTCTCAGTCAGACAGAGCTTCTTTGTGCAGAGGGCAGTCCTTACATCATTTCTCAGGAAATAAACTGGTCAATGTGCACTTACCGGGTCAGATTTGTTACATGCTTTTTGAAGACAGGCAAAATTAACAGCTCGATGGTCTTGTTAGATCACAAGATTAAGACCGCTCACTTTTCTCCAATTACTTTAATTCAATTCAACTTAATTCAATCTGGTCGCAAGGCAGAAAAATGGCCAAGAATTCACGTCATGTGTGCTGCCGTTTTCTGCTTAAAAAGAAAGCAATGTGACAAAAAAAGAGCTAAAAAATATACACATTTGTGCTTTCAAGTGAACCTTTGTTTGATCACACTCTCAGAAACTTCCGGATGATCCCTTTGTTGCCGTGTTTGTTTACTCCGTACCTCTTTAGACGGCTTGCGCAGGACGTCCCCAACACCTCCTCCGCTCCTCAGGCCGTGACTCAGTACTGTGACAATGCACATGAGTAAGGAGTCACATGTTCGCTCCTTGTCCTCAATCACCACTGACGGCTGGACAGCAACAGCAGCTGCGAAGAGTAAGAAAATGTTACGTTTTTAGATCCCTGCCGTCGATGGCAAAATGCCAAAGTTGCTCTGCTGGAGAAGAGACATTTATTTTATCAATAAATCTCTGGACACAGATACGGGTTGGGGTCATTCTGAGCAGAGCTGGAACCAAACTGGATTCATGAGTCTGATATGTGAACGATTTTCTAGCTCTGACCCGCAGATAACTGCAGATTTCTCTTAAAGTACAAGGAAAACGTGAGAAAATTTAACAAAAGCGTGAACAGTAAAAAATGTTATTGGAAGTCAAGAGGACATTACATAAGGGTGTGAGAAAGTTGGTTTTACGATTTCAAAACAGACAAAAGTGGGTGCAAAGCGAGGATTTTATACCGTCTTTACCATCTTGAATGGGAGATTAGCTCAGACATATTAAAAGAACATTCTTTGGATATATTCAGACCTGTCACGATTCAGTGCATCTGCACTGAAAAGTGTTGTCACCGGCAGGTGAAAAAACATGTAAAATTTCTGAGGGGACAATTGCTTCGTCCACATCACAGAAGATAAATCTGTGCCAGTTCCAGTTACCAGTTTAAGAGTGGAAAGTAACTCCCAGTAGCTACTTTTAGTCTCATTACTGTAATTAATACAATTTGTCTGTACTTTGTTCCTTTTGAAGAAGTTAACAAAACCTAAACTTCTACGTAAGTACATTTTGAGTAACGTATTTTACTCAATTACATTTGAAATCATATCCATTGAGTAATTTTATTGTAATTCTTTAAATCTGTGTGGCACGAGGTCGATCATGTACACTGCTGTCCTGTGGGCAACGACCACTTTGACGATGAGACGGGTAAGGAAACCACTGTGCGATCCTTTTGATGAGCTGTGTGATTTTGTGGCATATAACATTGCCTAATTTATTTATTTTTAGGTCTTGATGCTGCATAACCTTGTTGAAGTCAGAAGAAATAAATAATGGATCACCAATTCCATACTTTTAGAGCTGGCTTGCGAAAGAAGCTGTGAGAACTTTCAGTGTAGGATTTTGTCCAATTAGCGACAAAAACTATCCCATACTTGAGCAGTGATGAAGGGTTTTGAAAGCTTAGGTGGGGTCGGGGTCAAGCAATTTGGGGATTGGATATGGCTGACTGATTGGTTTTAAGCTGCTGAATGTGTTCATGATTGAATGGTGGTTTTTCCCATCAAGATTAGTCGCTTCCAAAGACTTATTGCTTGGAGTTGGAGGCTTTCTGTGCCATCACTGGATGGATTGTTCAATCTACTTGTACTGGAGGTTTTTAATCCTTGACCTTTTCACCTCAGGCCCTAGTATCGGCTCTTAGGCTCGTCAACCCCTCTCCTGCAGCACGAGGGGTCTGAACCCCCTGACATTTCACCAGGTGGCTCAGTCTGACTAAATCTCGTGATTTGTTCAGCTGTGCTGATCTGGGTGACTCAGGAAAACGCAGAGCCGTCTTAAAACAAACATAAAAGCCACAAGCACAGTTGCACACCAAAAGCCTGGAATCTCATGCATGCACCAACACGTGGCTTCAGACCTAACAGAAGCCTTGAACTTTAACATCCTCCCTCCAACATGTTCATACATTTGTCAACGTACCATCCATGACGGCTTCTGTCGAGCAGTTTTCTCCATTTTCCTTCTGGCACGCTCCGCCCGAGAAGAACTCTCCAATCATGCTGGCTCCATGTTCTGTTCAGCAGCAGAACACGCATGATTATGCACGTGCACAAAGGGTCACACGCATATATATTTGCACAATGCATACAAGTGTATTGCAGAAGTACTGAGGTGCCTTAATTTATTAATTTGTAGACATTTTGTCACGTTTCAACCACAAACAGCAATGTATTTTGCTTTGGTTAAAGTGACAGACCTCGACTTCACAATTCTGAAAGTAGATCTTAAAGTGAAGTGACGGGAAATTATGCAAGGTTGCAACAAAGAAAAATCTGAATAGAGTGGTGAGAGTTTGGTATCCCGTATCAAGATCAATCATTTGCAGATCAACCTTCTGCTGCAGAAGACCTTCCACAGATCTCTGAGTGGATTAAGATCAGGACTATGAGTGAAGCATTCTAACACAGCAACATGGTCCATTCCACACCAATACATTGTAGGTACGAGTCTGTATTTAGTCTTTTTTCTTCTGATATAACAAAGCCCTTATGGACTCCGTCAGTTGGACAATGTTTTATACCCCAACATTCATTAAAATTCACTTTATATTTCATCTCTCTGCTGTTCCTTGTGCTCCTGCTTTGTACATCAGTGTTCTCTAACAAACATCTGAGGTCTTCACAGAACAGCTGAATTTAAACTGAGGTGAAATTATCTACAGATGAAATGGTCAGGTGACTTGTAAAGGCAATCGGATCGGACCCGATTTCACCAGAATAAAAATGGGGAAGTCCACCTTTTAGATTTCTTCTGAAAAATCTAAATAAAACCAAATATTACGTACCTACCCTTTTATAATTACAAACTACTTTATATTGTTATATTGCATAAAATCCCCCAAACATTGAAGTTTATGGTTGAAACAGTTTAAGGTGTGTGAATACTTTATTAAGGCAGTGTTGGTCACAAAACCAACATTGTAAAACTTGTAGAACAGGATTTTGACCAAAATGTAAAGACATTTTGATTGTATATCTTGGCTATACTGACATTTCTTCATTTAAGGTATTTTGATAATGATGAGTATCATTAAAATGAGTATTTGGGTCAAGAAGGGCAAGAAAGGCTTTTATGCTTCCAGCCAAGACTTAAACATACCGAGAGTTTTGTTGGGTATCCTGTCGACGGCCAAAATGAAGTCGTCCTTGAAGAAGATATATCCCACAATCGAGAAGAGGTAGACGAGGATGAGGGCCAACACGGCCGTCAGAACTATGGAGCGTCCGTTCCGGGTGACACTCTTTATCACGTTCAGTAAGGTTTCTTCTCGGTAAACAAGATCGAAGAGCTGAAAAAGATTAAAGTTTCATCTTTGAGAAACAGAAAAAAAAGGGGACCCTTTTTGTTTCCTTCATTTGTCTTTAGCACTATCAATGTTATCGAGCTAATGTGATTAGCGTGTGCCACCAAATACCAGCAAGCTGTAGAAGAAGACGTGGACGAAGACCCCCAGCGAGCAAATGATCAGGTAGAGCAGGTGGTACAGGAACTCCACGTCCATGATCATGGCCTTGTATCCGCGCGTGAAGGTTCCTCGGTTCCCAACGAAGCTCATTAGGAAGATCACCTTGTTACACAGCTGGTAAAACCAACAAACACCTCTTGTAATGCAGAGAAAACACGAGAATCGCAACCAGAAAACAGCCTCTTTCGTAAACATGTCGATGCAGACTTACATTAAACCCGCCCAGCAGGAGCAGCGTGGGCTCCAGGCCCACAGAGAAAATCAGGCGCAGGATGGTGGACGCAATCAGCGCCCTGATTCCATGAGGCTGAGGCAACACGATGACAATGGCCAGCGACACAAGCATGGCCAACCATAACAGAGCAGACAGGTGGGGCTCCAGGGTCCCTGGAGGAAAAAAACCCCAAAAGGATTTGATTAGAAAAGGTAGAAAAAAAATAATCTATTCGGTCACTTAAAGTCACAGCTGTTATTACAAATACTTGTTTTTCTCTCAGATGGCGACTATTTCTTCTCTTACAGCTAAATATAGTCCACATTATACGATGAGATAGCTAAAATATTGTCAGAAGTTCTAACAGTACAATGAAGACAATAATAAAGATGAAATTATGACAAAAGAGAGAAGAGACAACAATGAGGGGAGAACTGAGATCCAGCGTTAATTAAAATCTGGAAGAATTTGTAATTTCCTCCATCAGATAAACGTCCCAAACTTTTCGGAGTGTTACGTGGAAGGCGAGGCCTGTCACAATGACAAATAGAAACAACCCCAAAATCATTGTTATTTGCGATAATTCTGTTGTTTTGTATAATATTGTCCCATTTCAGAGTTTATAAACTGTCAATTTGTGAAGAAAACAACACTGAGACTGCAAGATATTTGGAATATCTAAAAAACATACACACCCAAACCCATCAGTAAAATGGATTATGACTTCTCTGCAAACAAAATTGCCCTTAAAAAAATATAAATCCTGGTTTTCTGTTTTTTTTAATCAATTTATTTTCTTTTAAAAATGTCAATGCCATGCATGTCTCTCTTGTAATTTCAGGACAAAGTTAACTGAATCACAAATGATGAAAATATTAATCAATACAAACTTTATGACTCTTGTTCTTCAGGTGCTTATCCAAGTCATTCAGGCTGCATTCAATGTAATTTAGAAATACTCTAAAAAAAAAACCTAGGAAAGTTCACCTTTTTTAATTGATTTACTGCTACAGTAAATTATATTAACAATTAACATCCAGTTCCTACCCATGCCTTTTGGGTGCCCACATATTTTTTTCTTTAACTCTACATGGTGCGTGGAGCTTTACTATCGCATGAGTCCTGATCAGTACGCAGCTGACGGATTGGGTGGCTTTGTTAATGGGATTCCCATTCCTCACAAAGCACACATTACAAAAGGAGTTTCGTCAAATTCTTTTTTGTCTAAGGCACCAAGTGGACCTCCCTAATCATCTCCTGAGTCTACAACGCTCGTCAGGTTTTTGTTACATAACCCTCTGCTGGATAAAAATAGACGCTGTAGCAGCCAAAGTTATCAGCGATGGTTCTAGGTTCGGCTTTGTTGCTCAAAACGCTCGATACAGACCCAGTAACACGCCATCCAAGGCTGCTTATCTCCATTTGTGCTTTTGAAGGATCTTCAGACGTGGGCTACAATGCCACACCAGCACCTTCAACAATCTTTCATCAAACACTTTGCCGTCCCCATGCGTCGTCTCGAAGGCCGGTGTGGTCACAGCCGACTCGTGTGAGGCCACGCTCGAGTTTGTTTGAACAGTTGGCCGTAGGATTTACAAGCGTAAACAAGGATTAAGGAGAGTTATACAATCAAATCAAAAGCATTTGCTCAGCCAAAGGAATTGTTACACCTAGTTTTTCCTCCATTCATATTCTATTTTTAAACAAACGATATATGAAGACTTCCAGCGCTGATTTTATGTGTAGTGCTGACGTATAAAGGTCCTGTTCTCCCACACTTTTCATGTAGTCACAACCCACAAAGGCTACAGAAACCACAAAATGTTAATTATCATTTGCATTCGACATGGCAATTTTAGAGACCGACTTTCTTTCTTTTCTTTTTTTTCCTAATTTCTTCAAAAAATCTGAGCCATTCTAACAAACTGAATATGCTTTGATCTAAACCATTTAATTTTAACTCTTACTACATGTTAAGTTTTTAAATCTTTTCTCAAAACCCATTTTTTCTTCTTTTGCATTTGAGACAGAGTGAGTTTCTTCTATCAAGTTTATTTATGCAGCTCATTTAAAACAAACACTGCTGAACAAAGTGCTTCACAGTACTTTCATCATAGATAAATACATAAATAATACAAGAAATAAAATTAGTTTAAGAAAATTAGCATAAAATTGGAAGTAAAATACCAAAAAAAAAAAAAAAAAACTAATATGAATCAAAACTAAAATATAGTTCATTTCAGTTGCAGCATTTTCCCAAAAACTCAAATCAATTAGGTACCAATTTTCCCTTTATTTGTTTAGCTAAAAAGACAGTCATGGAGTATATTTGTTTTAGTCTTAGTTTTATATATACATTTCTTGTTTTTGTTGTTTCATTGAATTATACAGCACTTTGGGCAACATATGTTGTTTTTATGCACTATTTATTTCCCGAAGTCTTTTGCTGCCACCAACGACAAACATGCAACAAACAGCAACCAAACCCTGTTCAGCTTCTCCACAACTATGTTGTTCTCCAACAAACTCTTAACCTTCATTATTAGTCTTCCACTTCTGTTGATCTTTCACATGAAATATCAATAAAAGCTTTGCAAGAAGGTTATCTTTACCTTGCAAATTGAGAACAGATTAATTTCCTCCACTCAGTCTAAGTTTAAGGTAGAAAACGTTTAAAAATAAACTGCAGCTAAATTTTAAAACACTAATTGCTTTCTTCTATATTTTAGATTGGGCCACCATAAGTGAGAAAATGAAACTGGAGCGACAATTTTTCTCATCTTCATCATTTTAGTAAGTTGTTCCTGTATGATTGACATGCAATGATAGTCATGACTTTCCTAGGACGGAAACAGCGCAGGGTCGCGTTTTATCACATACGAGGTTGTTACAGGTTACTTGGTTCACGCTGGTTAAGCTGCTGGTGCAACTGCGACAGGAAATGTTTCAGACACGAAGCTGCGTTTAGATACCCGCAGAAGAAGTCTTTACCAGATCAATATAATAAAGTTTAGCAACACTGAAACACACCGACCTTTGCTCTAGACTTGTACTTCTTTTTTTGGTCTCTTTATAGAGTGAAAAGCTTGAGGTGTCGCTATGTTTGCATTTGCTCCGTCACATTTCTGCAGCACTCCTTATTAATAGTTACCTTCACAATGGAACTGCGCTAAAAAAAAGAGGTTTTCTATATTAAGTTTGTTTATAAAGTGTTTAGATTTGTAGCTGACAGAGTCCAAGCATCAAACAATGTAATGATGTGTCTAAATGAAGGCCATATTAAGAAACTATTTTAATATGGTAAGAAATGTACGACCCCCATGCAAATTGTCGGTAAAGTGTAAAGTTTCTTTGAGAAATCATCAAAAATAAACGCCACAACACAATTTGGGGAGATTTCTTTTTGTCTTGTGTTTATTTTCTGGTCAGTCTATTAACTTTGGTTTAATACTTGATATCACTAGCCACAAATTGAGGCCACCGTCGGTTTGCAGATACAGCTTTTGTCCTAGATTGACTCTGAGCCCTCAGAAGATCCTTTAAAACTGAAAACCACATGAGGTTTCTAAAGCTAAGCAAAACAATCTTCTTTTTTTTTCTCCATAACTGAGGAAGTACAAACAAAAGGGGACCTCGCCATTTGACCCCAGCCAGAACAATCGAAAGTTTATGCAAACAATGTGCGTCTTCTCTTTGCTTCCAAACAAAAGAGGCCCTAATGACTGCCGGCTTTTCACATCTCCACAAGCGCCGTCCTCGAAGAGGGGCCAAAACGGGAAAAAAAAAAAAGAAAAAAAAAAAAGGAGAGACCAGAAGAAAAGGAAAACTGAAACTACGTGTGAAAACATGCTCAGATCTGTCACTTGCTCCCTTTGTTTGTGAAGAATAGCCTGTCGTGCAGAACTGCCAGCACTCAGACATCTGTTTCACTTAAAATACTTTTACTGAAGTAATCTGCTGGACCTTATGACCTGCGAGCAATTTAAATCTATTTTTCAAATCAGTGAGACATAACCTGCGAGACTAGAGGTAATAATAGTGTAGGAGGCAAAGTCAATTATCTAGTTTATCTCTGTGTGCGTGGTGATTGGGCCGCATCGCTTATGATGTTGAATTTTTCAAACAGAGGAGGCCTTATTGTGTCATCTGGACAGATCGCCAAGTTTAATAATAACACATGGATATCAAAATATGACTCAATATTTCAAAAATAGTGTTTCTTTAGAAAGTGCTCTGGTCGTCCATTTTCCTGACAAACATTGAAGGACTATGGCTTCTTTGCAAAAGTATGCGTTTTATTTAGGCAAAATGACGTTTTTCTGGTTTCCGTTCACAGCAGAATCCTCAGGCAGCCTTTGCAGAGCCGGTCAAAGATTATCTAGGGCAGGGGTGTTAAACTCCAGTCCTGGAGGGCCGGTGTCCTGCAACTTTTAGATGTGCCTCTGCTGCACCACACCAGAATAGAATAATTAGGTCATTAGCAAGGCTATGGAGACATGATCTACACAGGAGGAGGTAATGAAGCCATTTCATTCCTGTGTTTTGTACTTGTGGCACATCAAAAAACTGCAGGACAGTGGCCCTTGAGGACTGGAGTTTGACAACCCTGATCAAGGGCCTTCAGCTGACTTTGATTTGGGGCCCCACTTGCAGTAAGACACAAATATTAGCCTTAAAATCTCTCTTGATTTTTTAAAATCTTTTTGTATGAAGCACATTTTTCACTATTTGTTTGTAGGCCAACACCATTTTCCAACCTTATACAATGAACTAGTTTGCATAGTTAACCAAATAGTTTTTCACAGATTATCTGACTCATGTTAAACAGTCACAACATTATGACAGTTTTAACAAATATCTATAATATACTTTTTTAAATTAATAAGTTAAATGCTGGAATATATACATCACTGGAAACAGGTGAAGGAAAATATAAAATGGGTCTTCTTGAAATAAGCTAATAGTCTGACATCCATATCTTCTGACTGGAGAACATGTTCATCACTTCATTGCTTGTGGTAAAACTAGAGAAGTGTGAAGCTGCACCCAAACCACAAGCATTCAGGAGCACAGACAGCTCTGTAAAAATCTAAGAATTTCACACAGTATCCATGTATTGCCGACATAAGTTATACAAAAGTCAAATGAGATGTCAAAAGTCAATCTAAATCATCAGCTGCCATGGTAGTGGTGGTATTAACCCCATGGGAGATGCTTGAAAAACTCACATCTTGTGCTCCTTATTGTCAGTGTTCTGCTCCACCCCTGACCTCAGCAGGTTTTGCCTGTGCCATTTCAAGTTCCTGTGTTGTAATCTAGTTGTCACACTCATTGTGGTAACCACAGGGCACTGAACACATGCTTGCAGATTACAAGCGGTGCTTTGAGAAACAATCTGTTGTTCTCCATAGAAGAAAAGATTGATGAGATGGAAATAAAAAGCAGCCTTGAGGTGTAAGCATCTTTAAGAGTAACCTCGCTCATCCCACAAGAAGTGAAGAATACCTCTTCAAAGCTGCATTCAAATATACTGACAGGGTTTGTTTTTCTCTACAAAATATATATATCTATACTGTTTTTCTCCAACAGAGGTGGGTAGTCTGAGGTCATCAACCATTTAACATAGCTAGTTTTGCTACAGGTTATCGTTTGCCTGCATTTAAATGGCATTAATGAATTAAGGAAAAAAAAAAAAGTTATATATTCCCTTGTACCTTTTACCACTTAACAACAGATTAGTCAGTCAGCAGCAGCTCCAGCCCACGTCCTTCCTGACCCGTCCTCTCCTAAGTGAAATTAAAGCTGCAGTATGTAACTTTTATATATACAGTTAGGGCCATAAATATTTGGACAGTGACACAGGTTTTGTTATTTTAGCTGTTGACAAAAATATGTTCAGAAATACAATTTATATATAGTATGGGCTGAAAGTGCACACTCCCAGCTGCAATATGAGAGTTTCCACATCCAAATCGGAGAAAGGGTTAGGAATCATAGCTCTGTAATGCATAGCCTCCTCTTTTTCAAGGGACCAAAAGTAATTGGACAATGGACTCTAAGGGCTGCAAGTAACTCAAAAGGCCTTTCCCTCGTTAACCTGTAATCAAGTAAGTAGTTAAAAGGTCTGGGGTTGTTTCCAGGTGTGTGGTTTGCATTTGGAAGCTGTTGCTGTGACCAGACAACATGCGGTCAAAGGAGCTTCTCAATTGAGGTGAAGCAGAACATCCTGAGGCTGAAAAAAAGGAAAAAATCCATCAGAGAGATAGCAGACATGCTTGGAGTAGCAAAATCAACAGTCGGGTACATTCTGAGGAAAAAGGAATTAACTGGTGAGCTTGGGAACTCAAAAAGGCCTGGGCGTCCACGGAAGACAACGGTGGTGGATGATCGCCGCATACTTTCTTTGGTGAAGAAGAACCCGTTCACAACATCAACTGAGGTCCAGAACACTCTCAGAGAAGTAGGTGTATCTGTCTCTAAGTCAACAGTAAAGAGAAGACTCCATGAAAGCAAATACAAAGGGTTCACATGTAGATGCAAACCATTCATCAATTCCAAAAATAGACAGGCCAGAGTTAAATTTGCCCAAAAACACCTCAAGAAGCCAGCCCAGTTCTGGAAAAGTATTCTATGGACAGATGAGACAAAGATCAACCTGTACCAGAATGATGGGAAGAAAAAAGTTTGGAGAAGAAAGGGAACGGCACATGATCCAAGGCACACCACATCCTCTGTAAAACATGGTGGAGGCAACGTGATGGCATGGGCATGCATGGCTTTCAATGGCACTGGGTGACTTGTGTTTATTGATGACATAACAGCAGACAAGAGTAGCCGGATGAATTCTGAAGTGTACCGGGATATACTGTCAGCCCAGATTCAGCCAAATGCTGCAAAGTTGATCGGACGGCGCTTCACAGTACAGATGGATAATGACCACAAGCATACAGCCAAAGCTACCCAGGAGTTCATGAGAGCAAAAAGGTGGAATATTCTGCAATGGCCAAGTCAATCACCAGATCTTAACCCAATTGAGCATGCATTTCACTTGCTCAAATCCAGACTTCAGACGGAGAGACCCACTAACAAGCAAGACCTGAAGGCTGCGGCTGTAAAGGCCTGGCAAAGCATTAAGAAGGAGGAAACCCAGCGTTTGGTGATGTCCATGGGTTCCAGACTTAAGGCAGTGATTGCCTCCAAAGGATTCGCAACAAAATATTGAGAAAAAACTTTTTTGTTTGGGTTATGTTTATATGTCCAATTACTTTTGAGCTCCTAAAATGTGGAGTGTTTGTAAACAAATGTGTACAATTCCTACATTTTCTATCACATATTTTTGTTCAACCCTTTAAATTAAACGTTACAATCTGCACTTGAATTCTGTTGTAGAGGTTTCATTTCAAATCCAATGCGGTGGCATGCAGAGCCCAACTCACAAATATTGTGTTACTGTCCAAATATTTCTGGCCCTAACTGTATATATTTTTACCTATTTGTTAAAACTGTCATTATGTTGTGACTGTATGGTATGAGAGATAATCTGTGAAAAATCTATTTCCTCTGCTTTCTCCCAGTGCTATATAGAGACAACCAGTCAGTGGCAGGAGAGTTTTAGTGCTGTCAATCACAATCGCAAGTGGCTGCTCATCCCTACACTGCAGCTAGCATAGCCTGTCGTGAATGCTCAGTTTTGTTAGCATAGCTACATCAATGAAAACATAAAGTTCTGTTCAATACATTACAACTAAGAGATTTCGATGAACATCTTTTGTTCTTAAGGTTTTATTGACCATAAAATCAATTCATTGATGGATATTCTGGCTGCACACTGAACATGCACTTCTAGAAGACGACCAGACTTTTCTTGTTGCTTGAAAAGGTTTCAACTCTCCACCAGAAGATTCTAAACATTGGCTGGAAGTCATAGGCTTACAACCTGAAATCAGAACAATCACTTTTAGGGTCATGAAGATTGTTGTGCGGCATGTAGGATCCATATGTCACTGTCCCCAGCTTCTATTCAGATCAATGTCTGTCTCATAATTGCCTGACAACGCAAACATGTACCCAACGATAATTTGTTTTGGTCATGTGTCCCCAGCTATGATTTGGAGTAAAATCGCCTCGTGGAACAAGTCAGGTGTTAGCAAGATGAGACCTGAGGCCACATCCTCTGTTTTTTTGGGTGGTTTTTCATATTTAACATAGATAGTTTCTGTCACACCTCTCAAGCCACCTGCATTCTGTTTTGTGAAGACTGCAGTCTTCATACGAAGGTTGTCAAAGACTTGTCTTCCTCATCCTCGAGATTTAAATGAACCACTGATTCTTGACTAAAAGAGTTTGCTCTTTCGTTGTGGGTCATCCCTCATCACTGTTTACTTTCTCCAATGTAGAGGTCTGAATGTTCCTCACTGCACTTGCCTCTGATTTTGTGTTTTATAGTTGGGAGCAACCAGTGCTTATGATCCCTAGACAATATCCAGCTAAAGTTGAAATGAATTTGGTCCTAGTAATCCTAAAGTTTCTTTGCCATCTTCTCATACGTCTGCCCCACTCCTAATGTGTTTTTCTCAATAACACCATTAGGGTTACTCTTCCAATTCCAACTAACATTTATAAATTACTTCCAACCATTTCCCAACTGAGAATCAACACTAATGAAAGACCATCTACTTCAACTGAAATGCCAACCAAGTACATCAATGATCAGAGATGTAGCCCAAGGTAACTCTGGAGATGAGGGTAACTATTGCTTGTCAACTCCATCAATCTGATATTTATGGGAAAAAATGACCATGACCATAGAAAGTTCTGTTGGTGGTTTTCCACAAACCATGTAGGGGTCGTTGCTTTTCTTCAACAAGAATTGAGAATTCAGCAAAGGTTCACCTTCCACCAGGACATAAAGCCCAATAAAACCACAAAGTTTTAAAAATTCAATAAAACAAAGAAGTTTGTGAGGTATCAGCACTCCCCCCCCACGACAGCGTGTGGCGTAATAAAGCGAAAGTTGACTGACCTCCACGGACACCTTCCAGAGGGTAGAAGAAGGCCACAAGGAGGTTCATGAGTACGGCCAGGTTGAAGGAGATGCTGCTCCAGAAGGACATGTTCCTGGAGCACCAGTAAAGGATGGGCTGAGCTGAAATAGATTTTTACAATTTTGAGTAATTTCATCAATAGAAAATACAGCAGCATGCAAACATCCTCAACAAAGTACAACGTACTAAATAAAATTACCAAGGAGATTAACGTTTACACCCAAACAGAAGTGCTCTTCATCCTGACCTCAAGTGTCAAAATGTACAGTCTGAACTGCAATTCTTCTATTTTCCAAACCTCAAATATTAACACAAACAAAACAATCTGAACTTTAGGAAATTCAGTTTGGAACACAACCGGATTGCCTTTTGACATTTTGCACCAAAGTGGTTATTAGTCACAACCTATATGCTGCTCTTGGTCAGGAGATCAGTATCATGGGCCAATGCTATTTTGGGCCCAGTTTTTCTGCAGAAAAGCAGAACTGGCAGCTGAAAGGCATTATGTTCATGTCAAGTGGTTTGCACCAGCGGAAAGAGCACAATCTCCTGGTGTGTTGATTCACTCGTAGAGAAAACAGAAGGTGGCTTCTCACATGTTTTCACACTGCAGACCTGCAACACTCCTACACGCCTGACCATGGGACAAGCCAGAACATGTTCCTCAGTACAGAGAGAAGCGTAAACAAAGCGAAGTCTGAGAACTGAGTCAGTCAGAGGTCAATTTCACGACTCGACCTGAAAAGGAAACCTACTTTTGTTTGTTTTCATTATGTTCTTTCTGCTCTGGTTTAGTTTCTATATGTAGATTTACACTGAAACGTTAAATACGCTGCTTTGACTTGTCTCCAGACTCAGTGACAATTAGTGGTTCTGATCGCTCCAACTGGCAAGAACAGGAAGCAGGTCATAAGAGTCTGAGCACACTCAAAAGACCCAGATAAGCCAAATCTCGTCAGAAACGCCTTTTGCTTTCAGGTGAAAGAGGAGAGAATACTCAGACAATTATCTAATTGCATCAACCCTAGATGTAAAACCCAAAGTTGAATTCAGGGGTCGTTGAATTCAACTATCCACTGCAACTTAAAATTCACCAACTTGTTACGTATGACAAAGGTTATGCAATGATTCTTGGTGCATCAAGCTTAGCTTGAATTTGTTTAATACTAAATATTCACTACAGTTTAATAAAAAAAAAAAACATATATTCACATTAAGTCTAAAAAGGTTTATTAGGCATTTCCTGTTGCATCCCTCCAGGGTTCATGACAAAAGGAGTTAATCTCTTTCATATATATATATATATACATATATATATATATATATATATATATATATATATATATATATATATATATATATAAACACTTTGATATATTTCATTCAATTTTGAATTTTGTCAAAAAACAACAACAAAAACATAAAGTACTGTATCACAACCTCCAATCAATAACAGAATACTTGCTCTGACTGGACATTTATTCAGTAGCGGCGTTTGTGGGAAAACAAATTATTATAAGAAAAACATTGCCAATAGGACATATAATTATTTTATTAGATATCTAAATGTTGTAGTCTTATGAAAATTAGCTTAAATGTATACAAATGTGTGCTTTCATATTCAATCTTTCTTAAGCAGCAGTGTTTTTGTAAATTATTGACTCAAATTTTAAATAAAAGAAAAAGAAAGTAATGGGGCATTAAAGTTGGTTAAAAATGTAAACTTTAACCTGATAAATCCACCTCTCAGTGGGCGATAACAGCTAACGAGTGTTCACTACCCCCACTTTCATTGACATTTATAACCCAACGTCATCAATGACTCTGGGAATGTTTGTCTTCTTCACATGGCCATCTCTTAATGTTTTACAGGACATAACAAATGTTCCAAACTTTTTACGCAGTGCATTAAAAAGAAAAAAAAATCCCTGTCCATGACTGCTTCTCTTTAACTTTGTGGAACTGCCTGTTTCACTACTAATCACATTTCACTTTTATTTCATCATATAAATCCTATTTCCTTCAAATGATTTCTTACACTTTGAATTGTTTTCCCAAAAATGTTCAAATCATTTCTTTTTACAATGTTTTCATTTTGTTTTTGTTTTTTTTCCTTTGAAATTTGGTCCAAGCAGACTGACTGTTCTCTTGAACAATCATTTAAAAGCTTTAAAGCATTTCTATGGTTATAAATTGCAGCTCTTTTGGTTTGCGCCATTTTTCCTTGTCTAACAACAAATAAACAACAAACCATAAATTCTCTTGCAAGCCCAAACAATGATTTAACTATTCACACTTTTGCAGTACTGTTTCAGGAAAGGTTTGGAACTTTTTCTTTTGTAAGCAGAATTGATTAATTGTCCTGATGTTAGTATTTCTAAATAAAAATCTATACAGTTTTAGATTTTTACAATTTTTACATCTTTGTTTTGTTATAGCGTAGACAACTGGAACAGCCATGATTTATTACAGTGCTTTTAGCAAAGTACTCTTAAATGAGACAAGTGATCCAATATTTTCATGAGGATTTTAACTGATGTTGGATCAACCGTTTTTAATTTTTGGTCACCTGATGCCAAAATCAGTGAAGTCAGAAAAAGCTTTTAAAAATGTTTTAATTAATTTTTTGCATGTGTATGTTTCAATATTTGATATACGCATCAACGGATCTAGGATTTATTAGGCTATAATGATTAGCTTGTGATTCATCTACAGTGTTTTTGTCATTTCAAAGAAAGGTTCACAATATATAATTCAAGTGCCTGTGATGTGATCATCTGAGTATCAAGGAAGAAGAAAATGTTTTGGGAAATCCAGTCAGATCACAAGTTTAAAAAAAAAAAAAAATTCCGCAAGTATTCAAAAAATCTCGTTCATGCTTTTTAAAAATTTCATTTCCCATAATGGCCTGGAGAGATGCACAAGGAAGGAGTGCAAACTATGCAGAAGGATATAAAAAAGGTAGAGAAAAACGCACAGGGTACGGTGTTTGGGTTACCAGTGGCCTCTTGAGTACCTCGCAGCTTCTTCTGCCAGTTCATCTCGTTGAAAAGATCCTCAGCGCGCAGGAAAAAGTCATTTATCTTACTGCCCTGCTCGTCCCGCTCTGTGGTGTAGTACACTCGCAGTTTGGACTCTTGTGTGAGGAACTCGCAGATGTTGGGGACTGGAAACACAATCTGCTCCATGGTGCGATCCAGACGTACGATCTGAATGCAACCACAACAGTCAGCTTGATGCAACAGTTAGATCTAAGCTCTTTGACTGGGTGTGCAATAGTCTTTTGCTGCTCTGGTAAAATACTGGACCTCTCTGCAAAGAAAAAAACCCCACTGACAACTTTACCACAAATCGATGTTAACAATCTGCATTCCTTCTGCTTACGAGGCCGCACCGGGAAATGAGCGAGCATGCCAAAGGTTTTTGGCATCCTGCTGTGATGAAACCTAATAACTGTGGTAATAAAATTTAAACAAAAACCCTTTTATGACACGCATCGGGTGATCTCTTCACCAAAGCATGGCAGACAGCCAGAGATGTCAGCAGCAAATATATAAAACTCCTGCTTGGCCGAGGCACGGCGGCTAAACAGCTGACCTCGATCTGAGCCGTGTGTTTGGCGTAGAACTCCAGAGCCTCGTCTCCCTCTCCGTACGTCCCCCCAGGCTTCAGCATTGCCTGCAGTTCCTTGTTGTGACGCGCCAACTGAAACAGACCAGGCACAGATAATTAGCACTTCCATTATTTGTGAAGTCCTCAGAAAGGCGTAGCTGCCTTTTAGTCAAAGGTGTTGCACTAAGAATGGCTGTTTGTTTGAGTTAAGTTCAATGACGGTCTACGTCATCTTCTGTGTGTCTTGACAGTAAACATCAAGAAGCTGTTGTAAAGAACGCGGGCAGGGCTCTGGCTGTATTGAGATGTTGTAAACTTAATTGAACTCATAATCGGCTTGAATATTGTCTCACTAAGGCAGTTTTCACACCTGATAGTCCAGCAGACTCGGTTCGACTGGGGACTAAAATTGCAACATTTGCTACACTTTCAGGTGGTGGCAATCGCTTTCACACTGCACTTTGTCAAAGGATCCAAACTAATTGAAAAACCTGTTCACCTGTGGTGGAGTTGCACCAAGAACTACTGAAGGAATCGACATGAAAACGTCCCAAGAAGACACTGAGCGCCACTTCTTTTTTACCAAATGTAAACAAAAAATGGAGTAGCATCAGAGTTTAGCGGTTGTAGGACGTCCTTTCCGTGTCTTATAAAAGACCACGAGTCATTTTCTCCCTGCACTTCTGGACTCTATTATTTTGGCTCTATTGACCCAGAATGCTCTGTGCTATTGCTCACCACCTGCTTTTGGAGTGGTGTCCGGTCCGCTTGCACCCATACGTGCATCTTAATGAGTAACAGGAAATGACACGTTGAAAAAGAACAACTAAATTTGTTGGTTGTTGAGTATTTTAAGCATGTATGAGAACTGAGAGGGGCGGCGTTCTCTTTTGGGGGCTTACTTGATGTGCCAGAATGTAGATATTGTGTCCCACGTTCCGCGGAGACGCAGAATGTTCCTCCTCTCCATCCTCGCCCTCCTCGGGCTCCTCCACCTCTATCTCACCCTGCATGTAGGCTTTTTTGATAACTTCCACCTGCAAGGACCCACAAGGTCAGAAGAACACAAAATCAACAATGTTTGACGATTTTATGTGCGGCGTTTGCTCACCAGCTCTTTGGGCCTCATGTTGTATAGAATCCTCTCAGCGTTCTCACTGTCATGGCGACTCTCCATAATTGCGAGAAGCAGCTTAGAGGCATTGTTCTAGGGAAGAAATTAGTGAATGAGAACGTAGTAGACAGTTTTACAAAGTTTTCATGTGCCAGTATTATATGGAACCAGTTCTGCAAGAGGTATTAGTGGTATATTTTACTCTTTTACCTTACAGGCAACTTTTCTTGAAAACTTTACAACAGCAGCCAGAAAAGATGTTGTAAAATGTTTAACTGAATATAAATATGCTATCACACCCTTTCCTGTCCTGATGCCTGTGTTGACGTGTTGGAAAACAGGTATCATCATAAACACATGATGAAATAAAGCTACATTTTTAGAGTGTGTGTGTGTGTGTGTGTGTGTGTGTGTGTGTGTGTGTGTGTGTGTGTGTGTGTGTATGCGTGTGCGTATGTGTGTTGCTTGGTATGCAAAGGTGTGAAATGGAAAGTGTTTTACTTGATTCTGCCACATAATTTTTCTTTTTGTAACAGGTTGCTTTATCATTTTGGCTTTTATTTTTTACCAGACTGACTATGGGATTCCCCCTAGTGGTCAAAAAACCTATTTGGTGAATTGGTCAAAAAGCAGGTCAAACTATTTGATCTAACCATTTCAAGAATTCAGATTGATGAAGTGAGTTATCTTCATTAGCGCAGACAAAGGGTCTGCATAGCAAAGTATGAGATTAATGTTTTTATTGCTATAGCATTTTTGTAGTGCTTGTGGTATTTATCGCATGCTAGACTTACAAAAAGAGTCTGTGGCTATCAAATTACATATCGTCACCTTCTTAAAGTAATGGTCCAAGTCATTTTAGGCCATTATTTCAGGAAGGTGACAACATGATAAATTATAGAAGAATAAGAGGTCTATCGTGATCAATAATCGATTTTAACTAGCACATCTTTGTCCAAAAACCAAAATTCCAGCTATAAATGTGATAATATGACAGGTGTATAAGAGTCTGAGTTTAATCACTGATTTATTTAGCTATGGTACTATAAGGAAATACTAATACATTTACTTTTCAATTTTTCTATACACCCTTTTGGATTCAACCCCAGTTGCTTCAAGACAAACCGAGTGATTTTTTTTTATTTGTCACGTTCTCTGCTACAGCAATACATATTTCTGTGCAACTGAACAAAGATGATTCTTATTGTCTTTCTTAGCATATGTTGTGGCTGCATGTAGAAATTAGACCATCTGCCAGGCAATAAGGAAATAAACTAGTCAAATCACAAATTCTCTTAGTTGAAAACCATTAAATTGACCAAAGATCACTCACTTTGAGCTCCAGAACAAGGTCCATCCTCTTCTTACCCAGCGGGTTGATGTCGTTGAGAATGAGAGCAATGATGATATCAATGCCATTGCACTCATGAGTGGCTATGCAGTTCTGGAAAGCAAAAGAAAATGAGTTTTTAATTTTTATTTTACAAATTACACAGATTTTTCAAATCTAAAACCATTTAAACATTATACATCATGTATGAACTTGAAGCATCAACTCAAAATCCCATTAGGGGTTTTGAGTTGCACATTTCATGTAAGCAAACCACAACCGTTCTAAAACACGAAACTGATCAAACCACAGAGGAGCTGTCTGAAGATAATGAAGATAATGTTTGAAGCTGATGAACAATGCACATGACAATGACTGACGATAGAGAGGGGGTCTCAAGGTTGGCCTGCGGTTACAGGACCAACGCAAGCTGCAGACTTTGACTCCACTATTAAATCCTCAGAGTACTGAATTATTACCGAGGAAGATGTGAGGGTCTATATGTGCTACTTACTACAAGACAAAGTCCAGATCTCAACTCAAAGGAAATGCTGTGTGAAGACACTTAGACAAGCTTTGCATAACCTCAAAGAAAAACAAAAGAATTTCAAAATATTTGCATGGTCGCACTGCAAAGAAAAGCACAAATTCCTCTGCTAGGAATTTTCTCAAAGTCTTGATTTTATATTCCCTAATAATTTCTATGGACTTAAGAGTCATGAGGGCAGCTGTAACGGGCGTAACACTGAACATGAAACCACAGTGGTGTGGTTGGGCTGTGAAGACTCATCAACTTTTGGGAGTAGGCAGTTTGTGAGATGAGTTTTAACTCGTCTTTATTCCAGAGAAACATGATGTACCACCTTTTCCTTCCTCTCCCAAAAGTTTAATAAAAACACACCCATGTAGTCATTCATTAAATATTTTCACAAAGGAGAAGAAAATAGTAAAAACAAATACTATAAGAAAATATATATTTTTTAAAAATCTGAAATACTGAAGATAGTCTCTATCAGGTATAAAAACAACCTATTACATAGGTGAGCACAACTGCGACATTTATCACATTTTTCGGTTTGGCGTGTTTTTTTTTCACTCTGTCAAGTGAACAAAACCCTTTGAAAAACCTGTTTACTCCCCTTGACTGTGAGGATGGTGCACCAACGATCACTGGAGGAAACAACACAAACACCCTCTGAAGAAAACACTGAGCGCAACTTCCTTCTTCACGAAATGTAAATAAAAATGAAGTAGCGCCAGATTTTAGCAGTTGTAGGATTGTCTTCGGCAAAAGACAATGAGAAAATTCCTGTGCTAGCACTAATCATACGTTTGTTTTGGTTTATTTACCCAAGATGCCCAGCAAAATAGTTAGCTTCCTGCTTTTGGAGCACTTTTCTGCCCACTTGTTCCCATATGCATTCAAACCGAACCAAAGTTCACTTCAACAAAGCGAGACCAAGGTTTTTATGTGGACCGGTCACTTTTTTGGTCCGCATCAGAGACAGATTACGCATTCATGCCTTCCCAAACAAACCAGGCTTTCTAAGCTAGCAGACAAGGGTTAAATTAAAGTGGACTAAACCTAGCTGGTGTGAATGCAGCCTTAAGTAACTAATTTTAATGTCACTGTTACAAAATCAACAAGTAAGACATAAAATGGATTATCAGTAAAAGAACATTGTAGGGGTCGTAGAAAACATGTGGAGGAAGATCTTCTGCTCACATGAGACTAAAGTGAACCTTTTATTGCCTACATGCTATACACTATGCTTTAAGTACTGCACATCACACCAACATGAAACATGACGGTGGCAGCAACACACTAGTTGCTAGCCAGAATTGGTGGAGGATGGATGGAAGTAAATACAGGAAAACCCAGAGGAACTTTCAACTAAACGAAGGCCACAAGCAGGAAGTCAAATATGAATAACTTTTAATTGTGCTGAGAAGTCACAAGGGCACACATAGGTTTATTTCTGCACTGTTTTAATAAGATTCAGGGATAATTCATTCAGCCAAAAGAATGAACAAGATATTTAAGTGTTCCTCCATGTGAGCCTAAGGACTCACATGACTTGAAACAGGTCAATGACTAACCTGACCCCAACGACTTTTACGTCCTGTTGCTTCTTTCGAATCTTCGTGGTTTGTGGCAAACAAATCATTCGTGTCAGCATTGCCGCTTTCATTCAGGACTGAAATACTGCAGGTGACAGCATTACGCAGCCACTTATCTCAGTGTTTTCCTTGTTACAGGATTTAAATGAAGAGCCACCTTTAGTTTGGCAATCCCCTTTCCAGCACCGTCTAAGAGAACTGAAATGACTTCATGCAGCCACTGGCTTTATTCAGTCACCAGGTTCAGACTTGACCAGAATGTTATGACAGAGCTACTTGAAAAGAATCAATCAAAACTACATTTTCACAATCATTGCCTAAAATGATAATTAAAAAAAACAACCTACACACCTAGAACTTAATACAAATGGTAAGCATTGTAATTTTGATGTCAAACCGTAAGTCTTCTTGCACAAGGAGTGCTCAGAGGAGATTTATCACCTGGTTCTCGTGACACGGGCCCTGGCAGTACTCAGTCAGGCTCTCCACAGTCTGGTTGATCAGCCCGACGTTCTTCTCGTTGATGTAGAGTCCCAACAGCCCCAGTCCCCCGGTGGTGCTGCCACAGATGCAGTCCAGGAACTGAAGAGTCTCGCATACCAGATTATAGTTGTTTTTGTTGTTCTGATTGCGCAAGAAGTTCTGGAGAATGACAATTTAGAAAATATTAATAGATTAATTCTCTCTAAAGCAGGGCGTATGGAAATCACCTCAAGTAAGGTTTGTGCCTTGATGAGAGTAAATAAAACCATTTCTTGAAAAAATAATCTATACCTCTTTAGATTTTTAAATAACATTTTCTCACATGACTACAAATTTCAGAGCAGGATTTTATGTAATAGTAAAAAATAACAAGAACACAACAACTGAGAATCAGAAGGAAAATAATCATTTCTTTTTCTTACAAAAGTAGAAATGTGTATTTATATACAGCCCCCTTATTGTTTAAAATATTTTAAATATTTACTCAAGACTAAATGTATTGTCCACTCTTGAGACTCTTAAAGATAAATTTTTATTCATTGGATTTTAACACAATGAAAGTTTTGCTCTTACTGTTATTGCATTTAACCGTTTCTATTGTAGTCTTTAGTTCTTTCCATATTGTGAATGTTTATTATCTGTACTTAGTCGCAGCTATTTTTTTAATACAAGTGCATCATATAAAAAAAGCTCTCTTCCTAGCACCCTGTTAATACAATGGGTTGTACTGGATTTTATTTAGAGTTACTGGAGCAAATGGGGTTGAATGCAAATGCATGGCAAACTTTACAAAGGTGAAAAATATGCATCCTTTTCCTTGATAAGGAAAAGGATGTGTTGGTCTATCACATAATATCTCAATCATAGACATTTAAGTTTGGGAGTTTAAAGTTGCACAAAATTCAATCATTTAAATGGTTTGCAAACTTTTCTAAAGCACTGTTTTACAAAAGGATGATTTAATATCTTATGCCTTTTGGGAGGAGATGGCGGTGAAATAGGGACATCCAGACACCCCGTTTTAAAAATACCCGTCCCAGTTTAGAGAGTAAACAGAATCTGTGCGTGAAGGAAGTGTTCTGTCTGGGCTGCAGGAGCTTACAAATACACACCATCATAGTGAAACCAGACCAAGACATTGAAGATATGGAAACAGCAGCATCAGGAAGTTCTGCAACCGGTAACTATTTTCAACACGGTTTCGTTTCTGTATAACCGAGCGCGATGATTGAGTTTCAAAGCGGCGGGTTAAGGAAGACCTGCTGTCGACCCATGAGAGGTCGGGGGAACTGTTTATGCACGCCATCGTCCCCCGTAGTCAGAATGATAAACGCCGGCTGACCTGCAGGTCTCTGTTGTGGTTCTCGCAGAGCAGCTGCATGAGGCGTAGGATGGGCTGCATAATGGTGATGATGACACTCATCTCGCCTTCCTCTTGGCTCTTGTCGGCGGTCGGACCGGGGGCGCCATCGGCGGCGGCCGCCTGGTGCTCCTCGGCCTCCGCCTCGCGACGGTAGGTGGTGTAGGCCTTCTTGGTGATGGCGGAGGCCTCCACCAGCTGCTCCTTCACCTCCTCGGTCACCATTGCAACCACCGGCACGTCTTTCACTAACCAAAATTATACAAAAGTGAGTCAAATAGTGACAATTATGGAAATGAGATTCTTCATTTGACAAGCAGTATGGTATTCATAAAACAACCTAAATATTGCCACACTGTACTCCTACTCTACTAAGATCTGCCTCATTATTGCTGCTGTTAAACATTTTGTAGTACACAATTATAGCAACATTAAACATATTTAGAGATGAAATAAAGTGCTGCGTAGAAAACTGACTTTTTTTTTGCATCAGGGATCCACATTCGAGTTTTAGAGCCAATGTTTCTGCTTATTGCCTCTTCAAATTTTAATTTGAAGATATTTCAAACTCCTTAAAGTTTTGTCACCTTTTTTCCGTGTTGGCATGTCTTTGTCCGGTGGTTCCTCGTCCTTCTTCTTGCTCCCCAGGTCGCTGGTGTTGACTGTCACAGTGGCTTTGATCTCCTGCTGGGCCAGCTTCATGCGCTCATAAAACACCTTGAAGAATTTTTCTGACTTGTTGTCTCCAGTTAAACGATTATAAAAGGACCTCTGTGAGAACAAGCGAAGCAGAGAAAAAGGCCCAACAATTACAGGACATCAGTGGAATTCAACATTAGTCTCTTCGTTTTGAGAACTGCAAATAAAAAGAAAGATATGAGGTGTTATAATTCTTCTCTAAATGAGGTCGGTATCTTGAAGAGCAATCTAGCAGCTGAAAAAGTGAAATTCTTTGAAGCTATTACTTAGCATTACAGTGCTAAATATTAGCTTTGTATCTTACCTTTGAAGCTAATATTTAGCACTGGAATACTAAACATTAGCTCCAAAAGTGTCTGCTTTAATCTCCACACACATATATTAGACTAAATCAGCAGCATTGTGGCTGACAGTGACTGATAAGACACGAAAGATTTATAGCTATGTACATATTTTCTCATTTACTTTGTTTATTCAGTTTGTGAAACACACAAAAGGGGGTCATTTTCAGTGTTTTATTGTCACCTTGGAATTAGAAAAACCACATGATACATGGACTAGTTCAGCCTGAAGAACATTTTTAACAAAAACTTTGCTGAGGATTTATTAAGTATTTATCTACTTTGTAAACCTTCGAAGGCAGAGCCACTATATTGCAACGCAGCTTCCTGCCACAAGCTGTTAGAATGATAAACCTGTGCTAAGTTTCTGTACAACACTGCAATTATGCACTGATTCACCTACTAAGTGCTTTCATCATCCTTTTGTACGTTATGCGTTGGCTTTACAATGAATTGACAAAAGGTGGATTTGATTTCAATTCATCTATAAACACTGGAATAAAATTTAATACTACTTATCCTCCACATCGTTAATGACTTATTCTTTTTATACAAACTACAACCTAATGCCATCTATTACACCCAGCAGTGTATTATGCGGGACTTGAAATAATCCTGTTTATCAAAACAATATTTCTGTTCGACATCCTTTAAGGCAGGGGTGTCAACATCCAGTCCTCGGTGTCCTGCAACTTTTAGATGTGCCTCTGCTGCACCACACCTGAATAGAATAATTAGGTCGTTAGCAAGGCTTTGGAGAACAAGGAAGGAGGTAATTAAGCCATTTCATTCCTGTGTTTTGTACCTGGACTGGAGTTTGACACCCCTGCTTTAAGGTGACAATATCCAGTTCTACTTAATACGTTTGAATGAGTTCCAGGGAGGCTCTTTAGTCAGATTAAAAGTATATTTAACAATGTCTATTTTTGAGCAGACAAAACATGCTTTTCATTTGTCAACACATTTCTGTATTAAAAGTGAATGTTATTAGTAAGTTTGTCGCTATGAGCAGTTAATCCCAAGAGAAATTAAAGTGAGTTTCCATGCTGATTTATTTCTGATACATTTTATTTATGACTTGGTTCCGTGGATTTTTTGTTCCTGTTTATGTATTGTTTAAATACTCTGTATGTGGCACACACTGGTCTCAACTAGATTATCATTGATTGCGACTATAACCAGGACAATTTATTGTCAAACAAATTATGATAACATATCAGGCCTAGATATCGGTTTAATGTAATACTCTAATCATGAATGATGTGTTTTCATGAGTTGTAAACAGAAAATCCTCATAATTAACAAAAGTAAAGGTTTGAACACACCGGTCTCTGTGGAATCCATCTACACAGTGTGTGTCACTTAATGAGTTGAGTTACTGGATAATACTCTACTGAGTACAACTTCCCTTGTTATTTCTTGCAGGTGACTCTTTTTATTGTCTTATTGCTTCTGTGGCAAAGCTCTGAGTCAGTTGTTTGGTTAGACACGGTTACATAAGAGTCCTTTCACAGGAAAACAAGCTTAGCACTCCTCCTCGCTCACCTGACCCAACATTACCCTGTGTGCCCTCTGACCCCTTGGCCAGCGACGTATTTGTGGCATGTCATGGACATGCTGGGTGTCGATGTCTATGAGCTGCTCTCTCCATCAACAGCAGAACCCAAGACAAGATCTGGGATTAGCCTGCAGCCGACTACTAAAGGCTTCTTAGGCGTGCAACCAGTCCCACAACTCGTCCACGTGCTGCACATGCACATACCTCAAAAGCGAGCACGCTTTGAACACGAGGCTAGTCACGTCAAACACAAACTGGGCTAGACCCTAATGGAAGTTTCGCAGATATAATTACTTTGGTAAGTGGGGAAAGTTAGCCGAAGAAATGATAGGGAATCAAATGTTCTACACTTGGTGCGAGTACACAGACTGTAATCTTGTGCGACAGCGTTAGGGTTACGTTTTATTTTTTCCTGCAACCCACTCGTCTGTTCTGCCCCATTTTCCTTGCAGCAATCCCACCCCCGTCCTCGTCCCCCTTTACGTAAGACATGTAATCAGCTGAGTGGTTACAGTGAGGGCACACAGCACCTCAGCTCTAAACACTGTTACATCAGCCCACAGAGGGTGAGCTGAGGAGGGCCAGATGCAGGGGAGAGAGAGAGAAACAGAAAGAGAGGAAAACCCTGCCCTACTTTCATTGCCAGAATGGCACGAAGGGAACGTGTGGTGTGAGAGGAAAAGAGTTCGAAAGTAGGAAGGGAGGTGGGGCCCGGGGTTGATGGAAGCAGGACTTATCACGTTGAGATTCTGGGGCAGTTTGGAAAGCCTGTTGCATAAGACTCTTTCTAGGTTCAGCCTAACTAAATTACTTGTCTGAGATAGAGGAAATGTCTAAACAATGAAACACACAGCCAAAGTATCATATCAGCCCAGGGAATCTTTGATAACAGCGAACAGGGCTGGCCATTGAGTGCAGGCATGCAGTGTGGGCATGGCAAATCCCGAGGAAAACGGATCCCCCTCATATGTTACAATGTTTTTCTCCTCTTCTCTTCTTCCTTTATGCAACTATTCTTGCTTGTTTCTGGGAGTACACAGAAACAAGTGATAGTGATCTGATTAACAAGCCAGCTCTTTTTTTTTAAGGAGGGAAAACTCAAAAGAACAGAAAAACAACAGCTCTAGGATTCAGTGTATTAAAAACAGAACTCATGACCGTGCCCATAAAAACTAAATTTCTTCACCAATGTGAAGGCTTTCATTCCACCAACACTCGGCAGTCGTACTTTGCCCCCGGGGCAAAAGGAATGGCGTACAAATTTTGTATGGGGGCCCTGTTTACTCCGATTCCGGGTGGATATCAGACCTCATTTGTTTTTAACCAAAGTGAATCTGCTGATGACTATCGCTGCAAAGTAAGACCGACAGACGCTTGCTTGCTCAGACTGGTCTAATTTGCGTATGAAGCTGCAGTTCAAGGATGGATTTACAAATTGATTTCAAAGTTGGCATGAATTTATACACAAGAAAGGACTGCCTCGCTTATATCCGTAAAATAACTGCACGGTTTAAAAAGTTAATTGATTAAATGCAACCTCAGTTTCACAGCTTTTTTTCTGTCCAGTGGCTAAAGTGCCAAGCAAAAGTTTTTATACTGCTTTAACTTTTACGTTACAACCACAAACGTCAATGTCTTTTTCGAGGGGATTTTATAATCAGAAGACCAATACCAATCGATGGATTCAATTCAAATTTAAAAATCCTTGAATGCATGTTCACATTTTATACTGGAAGCACCAGTATGAAAGTCTGGGTGAATATCAATATCCGACATTGGTGTTATGGCAGATAACTGATAGTTATCGACATTGTATATACTCTAGGTATTTCACCAACCATGATACCTTGGAAAAAAACAAAGACAAAACACAGCTGACATCACCACAGCTACTTGATCTACCCACAATCCTGTGCTGCATTGCTATCACTGTCACATGACCAAACAAAAACCACATGACCAACCATCTCCCTTATCCCCATAAAACAAAACCGCAACAAGATCCAAATAAATATCGATTATTAATATTAATATCCCGTTTTTATTTACCGATACGTTAAAAAATACTACTAATATTGGCCGATATAGATGTCACTGCCGATATATTACAAAGTCCTACAAATTCATCGGGGCAAAAGTAAAACAGTCATTGTATATGTTCAACAAAAATGTACAAATGTTTGCAGCTCCTCCAGAGTTAGCCGCATCAGCAGAGCTCCACCAGAACCCAAGACGAGATCTGGGATTATCCAGATCTCGTCTTGGGTTCTGGGATTAGCCAGATCTCGTCTATGGGAAGAGTGTTGGTCCCGCACTCTAGAAAACTATGAGTCACTTCAGAGTGGCAAGAAGAAAGCAATCATTGAACTAAAGCGTCAACAAGTTTGGTCGGAATTTATGGAAAGAATGATTGAGCTAAACACAGGGCAATTGTGCAACACACCCTGTAAAAACACTTAACGATGAGACACGAGTTCACCTTGAAGCAGCACAACAACCCTGACAAGATACAACAGAATAGTCTAGATCCACATTCACAGCACTGGACTATTAAATGCGTTGAAAACCTGCACAGAGCAAAGTTACAAATTACTTTCTTGCAGCACATCAAGACATCATGTGACAAAAAAGGAACAAATTCAAAAGAAAAGGCCCCCACTTCCAATGTGATTAACCTCTCTAGACAGTGTGTTCAGCACGTGCTTCTCCCTAGTGCCTGTTGAGTCATTCTTAAAATAAGCAGTCAGTCAGCCAATTAGCCTGAGCTTTCTCCACAGGGAAGATTAACCCTCTTTGTGTATCACTACAGAGCCATTAAGGCCGCCGGGAGCTGTGCAGCTCCTCCTGTTGCCGGTCATGTAAGCTCATACCGACTCGCCTCTCTCTCTCCTAATCTGCGGGATCAACATGGGAGGCACAGCGGGGACCTTCTCTCTGACTATTTAGCGCGTCTACTTTTCTCTCCGCTTCCTGTCAGATGCCACTCTGGCTCCTGGCATCAACACGAGCCAGTTATGTAAGGCCTGTTTATACCATCAGCTATCTGGTTTTATCCGCCTCGGCAGCCTGACACCTCAGTGAGTGACAAAGCCATCTCTGTTCCTATTGGGTAGCAAAGCTTGGATACTCTGCCACCGCCCAGCTACCCATCCACTGAGATCTACTCCTCAAAG